GTTGAAATGTAGGCCTGTGGAGTGGAACACAGTCACAACTGTACAGTACACACACCCAGAGGAAGAACACATCCAACATGGTTCAAGATATTGTGTTTTTACTTTTACGTTCCATCTAAGTACAGTACAGTACCTCAAGGAACAGCTGGTTGAAGCCTTCAGAGAACTTCATTAGAGACTCATAAATCCTTCCTACAATAAGTTAAATATTTGAGAGTAATGTTAGGATTGATTGATTGATTTATGGAATTTAGGCTAAAAGCCAAGCACTGGAGCCAATAGGCCAAGTACAATACTGTGAATTGTGAGATAGGTGGAGAAGGAGGTAAGCCTCCATTTTACTTTAATAAATTAATTAATAATTGTGTGTGTAAGCAATACTTACCACATACTATATAGATAATGCAGGTACAGTAAACAGTTCAGCATATAAGCAATGCAGATATACAGTTCACCATGCATATAGGCAATGCAGGTATATGGAAAATACTGTACAGATAAGTGATGTACAACAACATTATGTAACATCACATGAGTCTTTACAATAGACACAAAATATCACCGAACAATTTGTGTTAGACCTCAGGTTAGCTTCTATATAATAGCCTTGGATTTAGAGACAAACAGTAGAGCACATGTGTGAGGCCACAGTCTGGGTACAGTTGGGTCAATATGATATCAGAACACGTTGCAAAAAAGGAAGCTACAGGTACCTTCTTTATCACCGAGTTCCTGGTTAAGGATCACCCCTCAGCCATAACTTCCACAGATGGTGGCTACCACCCCTACAGCTAACTTCTGCAGATGATGGGCTCCATTTGAGTTAAAAATGTAATACATCCACATGTACACAGTGAGGATTATAGAGCAACAGTCCTTAGTGTAGAGACCCACCTGACCTGCATCTGATAATGGATGAACTACATCATCAAGGACAAAAGTAAGTAATCAAAAAGTGGCTTTGTTAAAAACCATAAAATGCCATTAAATCCAACTATTACTATACTGTACTGTATTATGGTAACTTTGGACATCTGTGTTGACAGCTGATACAGAGCTGTGAGCTTCTGAATACTGCCAAGTTAAACCTTTTGAGGAAGGTCTTCACTCCCTGCAGTACTGTAGTTTATAACAGGATGATCAGGTGGGTCAGCTCTACACACAATAAACTACCAGACTCACACCACAGACTTAACACCAAAATATTTATCATTGGTCATGTTTGTCACCTCAGAGATCCACTATATCCTCAGACAATAATAATTCTTTGCCTTCCATAATAAAGACCAAGGAATGTACAGTAATATGCAGATTTCTTTGTTAACTCACAAAGGGAAGTTAGAGTGGCAAGAGAAGGCCGACTTATAGTTGTACGAGACAAGACTCATTCATCAGGACCATAAAAATTGAGGCTCACTATGGGTGAGTCAACATTAAGTTATGATTCACCTTTGTGCAAGTCAACATCATAACTACCAGGGTCATAAGTGGGACAGTCACTGTAAATGTCTATCAAGAATAAAGATATAATTTATTTTTTAATAATCAATTCACCATTTATTGGGTAGTTGGTCTGTTCTTTATTATGACCTTCATTGCCCATTGTTAATATTGTACAGTATGGGAAGAAACTGTAGTATTGTATCTGGAGAAAACCTGCCATGTATGGTAGTGAAGGTCACACTGGATAACACCTTTCTCACATCTGTCCCCAGGCTGGGGAATGAACCCAGGACACAGTGGTGCACCACTAAAGATATTCAACTCCTGATATCTGAGAGACAATCACCAGTGTTTTGGTATAAAGACAAAAGACAATATTTTCTTGGTTCTTTTATAATACTAAAGTGGTCTAGTTGTTGAATATATTGGACATTTTCCTGAAAATATTTGTATTCCTGGTATTAATCACATGCACTGTCAACTCAGTGAATGGCATCAATTAAAGTACTGAGTTTAATCACATATATGGCACAAATAGTTGAACAAATTGGCCTTAAAGTAAATAGGCTGCAGTTCCAATAGGTCCCAACCTATCCAAACCATTTTCAGTGTAGCTCAGTCCTGTTGGGCCATAATGCTAATGGTCTGGTAATTATGTTGGGGCCTAAGGACTGGGGTCTATTACACCTTCAACTAATGACAATAATTTGGCGGTATTCTTGGTGATTGAGCTCAATTCTTTAATACAAATTTTGGTTAATAGTGCTATCTAAGGTGCATATAAGACAGATATAGGCTGATGGACTGAAAGATATAGATAGATGGACTGAAATATATAGATAGAAGGACTGAAAGATATAGATAGATGGACTGAAATATATAGATAGAAGGACTGAAATATATAGATAGATGGACTGAAATATATAGATAGATGGACTGAAATATATAGATAGATGGACTGAAATATATAGATAGATGGACTGAAATATATAGATAGATGGACTGAAATATATAGATAGATGGACTGAAATATATAGATAGATGGACTGAAATATATAGATAGATGGACTGAAATATATAGATAGAAGGACTGAAATATAGACAGAAATACAGTATAAATAAATACTGTAGAGAGACTGAGAGATACACTGTATTTCTGCCATATAAGATGTACTTTTAACCAAACAAATGTCTCCAGCAGTCATCCTGAATCATATACAGTATGATGATGGTCAGTGTTGTGTCCACTAACTCGTAACGTTAGGACAGAAAATACGAAAACTAATTACCATCAATTTAAGCGCCGCTGTTGCTAATCATTTCAAAAGTTAGAGCCACTAACACTAATTTTGCCCCAAGTTTTTTCATAAACTATGGAATGTACAATACCTCAATTTATAAATAAGTTATGTATGTAGTAATTCACTTAAACAAGAGCAGCTCTGAAAGGGTGTTTCTTATCTTTCAGTATAACATTTTCCTGTCAGCTAACTCAAGACTACATATGTCATCCTCTTTAAGTGCCCATGTTTCACTGCTATATACATTCTTCCTTTCATACTGACAATAAAGGCAGCAACTCCCTAAACTTCCTCCAGCACTGATCACATCATCCAGGAACACATTCACAAAGTTGAGTATCTACAGCCATGCTAAAGACACATGATTATCTGCACATACAGAACAGTTAAAGTCAACAGCTTCCTGCAGTCTACCATATAGTCCACTGCACCTCTTGTGTACCCACTTTCCACACTCACTGCACATTACTGAATTACTGCCAACACCTCTCTTAAAGATAGACAGACGTCAGATAAGATAGACCGACTGACTACAGGTATTGAAAGATTGATAGAAAGATATACAGACATAGAAACATAGAGATAGACAGTTATAGACAAACTGAGATATGGACAGATGCAGTGTACAAAAAGACAGAAACACACACCTGTGACTGCAGTTTCTCCATGCACGAGTTGTTAGTTAAGGTTTAGTCTTTAATTCACCTGTAACAAAGAAAAAACAACATTTAATATACAGAACAGTTTATGATTAAAATATGTTCATGAATTTGTAGTCATCCAGTACAGTAGTTGTTTGTTTTATAAAAATTTGGTTTATGTGAACCTTCTTGGGACTGCAAACCTTGCATGCTTGACAAACACAGTAACTTTTTCTTAAATATTCTCAGCTAAATTTGGGATGCCTTTAATATGAGGGAAATACAATAGTTAAGATAGATACTTGCAGATAGATATACTGTAGATAGACTGACTAATAGATAGACATAGGATGAGATGAAAATACAGATACGTACTGAAAGATATTGTATAGATAAGTCATATACAGTATACTGTAGACAGATAGATTGACTGAGAAAGCTTGATACACAGATATACAGGTAGACAGATATACAGGTAAATACATAGATAGATACTGTATATAGACAGAGGTATATCCTGTTATAGATAAATTGAGATATGGATAGAAATGGAAAAAGACACATGATGACAGTCAATTAGAAATACAGACAAACAGAAATACACATGAGCAGATAGATATAATTATATAAAAAGAAGACAAACACACAGACAGAGATAAAACAAATGGCTAACAGTAGTAGAGTTATGACAAATACAACTTGTCAACAGTTTGCAGGGAATCAAGATTTCCCATAGGTATAGGGAATGAGAGCTGCCCTATAATTTACCTTGCCATAGGTAATAGTGGTGGTGGTAGTGGTGTTATGGTGGTAGTGGTGCCATGGTGATGCTGTGGTGGTGGTGGTGGTGGTAGTAGAGGTCATTTTCAGCTGTAATAGTGCAGTTCAATTTTGTAAAGTCTTGTTCTTAACTTTTACTTTTATCCTCTTTGCTTGGGCTGGAGGTCACATCTCTGTTACACACTGATGGCAAGTACTGGTTCCAGAATGTCCTCTGAGATGTTTATAAACCTCAATTAAGTCACCTCTTGCCTGTCTAAAGTACCATATAAGCTGTAGGTGTTCTAATCTCTCTGGGTAACTGAGGTGCCATAGAGCATGCACCAGTCTGGCCATTTTCAATCAAATAAGAGTCTCGTGCATCTCTTGGTGACCACTTGGGGCGACAGTACTTATCTCCTGTAACAAACAAAATATTATATGACTATAAAGTACTTGGGGGATTAGGTTACGTAAGCATTAGTGTTTAATCAAAAGGTGAAATACGCTGGTGAGTCTAACCTTCATCTGAGGTCCTAACTATGGCCAGTAATGAAACAATCAAGGATATGGTTACAAACATCACAAGTGCAACAATTTAGCCAAATGACAAAAATAGAGCTCACAAGAGGGCAGTGTAAGGTTGTGTCAATTTACATTTTGTGTATTAATGCAGTTCTGTACAACCACGAAATCTTGAGAACTTTTAGCTATGCAATCAGTAGTTCAGACAATTCTAGGAGGTTAGGTTAGGTCAGGCATGGGTAGTCTGCGGGCCTACCCACCAAAATTTATATACTACCTAACTCAAAAGTAATGTTAATACCCTGTATTGTATTAGCACGGACAGTGAAGCAGTTTATCGTCACGTCTACCTCACGATATTTTCAGTTTACAATCATAGACTTTTTCCCATTTATAAAACAAATCCATCATAATAATCTTTTAAGTAATATGTTAATGTTTCTTACCATTTAACAGAAGATGAGTGAAGCATTCTGTTAATACGTTGGTTTTTCCTAAAGTTACAGCATTTGTCTTACTTATGAGACACACCCACCAGAATAATGCCAATGTTAATCTTGGCATATGAGGAACTATAATGGAACAACCTATAGGCCTAACATTGCCTATAGGTACTCCTGAGCATGATGATTCCGAATCTATGGTCCATTATTCAATTACGGGGTAATTAGTGGCCAGAATGATGCTTAGGTGATGGAACAGTAATGAATTGTGTGTGAAGATTATTCTTTTAATAAATATTGCTTTACTCACCATAAACTGGCTGCATATACCTGAACTGCAGGCCACATTAAATAGAATTTGTCAACCACTCCACGGGCCACATGCGGCCCACAGGTCGCAGATTACCTAGGTCATTTGTGAGGGAAATGATTGATTGCAGAGATAAAATTCTTGAGATTCCGTAATTGTACAAAAATGCAATTTTACCACATTTTGAAGTAAAATACTACAGAGAAGTGAGATTACATTAGGTCAGGTTAGGTTTGGTTAGCTTAATTCAACATCAAGGCTATATTGCTGACCAGTCACTCTCAAAACATAATTAAAAATATTATCCTAAAACGTCAGTGTTAACCAGTAAATTACAGTTTTAACAGATCTTTAAACATGCATAATAGGACTAATTTGGGTATTATTACTGTTTCAGCCACAACTCGGTTAGAGCAATTTTGTGTTTACCATTAGTTATGTCTTGTCAATAGGAACAACTTTGTCTAATACCACTTCCGTCACAAATGGATATTAACCGAGAAAGTAAATTAACGTAAGAAATTATTGTACATCTGAAGTCACTGTGTGTCGTCTGTTTGTTAACAGCTGACCCGTTCAGTCTGAGATTACTGTACCGTACTGTACTAAACTGTACTGTACTGTACTCTCACATCCACTAAAAACCTAAAGTTACACCATAATGCTTCAACAAAGTAACTTTCGTTGGTACCAGATATCAAAATAAGTACTTTCTGTTTAATATAGCGGGGACGTCTAGCAAGTTTGGTAGGTTTCAGTGTGGTCGAACAGTATTTGTGGCTGAAACTGTAAATTTACCCTAATTTTATGTACATAGGCAGTCTCAATATCCAGACTGCTGCTGTCAGGCTGTTCCACATCTATCCACAGTCTTATCTTCAAAATCTCTTACTACAGGTTGACAACACATGAGTTGCTAGTAACTGCCCATTAACAGTTCCTAAGGCATAAAACTTCTGAATATTTGTATTAACTTTACCATTATGGCTTCGTTTATTTCTAGAAAAGATAAAATTAGTTTTGGTCACCCCTGTATTTTAAATATCCAAAATATGTGGTTTTCGACAGATATGGAGATCTAAATGGTTTAAAACACATAAAACAAATCGGGAAATATAATTTGGATACCTAACCTAACCTAATTCCTTAGATTCCCCGGATGACCGAAACATCGTGGTGTGGGATCCAGATATCAGAGAACAAAATACCCCATAAAAGAATTAACTAGCTTTATTTAACTATAAACGTTGAGTTACTAGAGTTATAATAAGCTTACATACCTGGATATATTATTTTCCATACACAAATAACGTGGTAATTGGCCATAATTATAAGCACAGGTGACAGGTGCTCTCCTACCAGAGGTTGTTTACAAACACTGTGGCTGCGGCAGATGCTCCCCCCAAGACAGGAAAGGTTCAACTAAACTATGTGAGATGTTTGTACGGTGTTGTTGCCAGACACCTTAATAATAGCGCCATCTATTGGCTGGGTCCAAAAGTTAATCGTGACGTCATAGACGTTGATGGAGCGTCATGAGTGATATTACATCAGATTTGAAATGTATTTCAATATATAATTGCACATTTGCACTGTAACTCACAAGAGGTTAAATACTTAAGTTACCTATCTCCGTCCTTTGGAAACCGATGAAAATGAAAATGTGGATGTGTATCCTTTCCCCTTTTGCAAATAACGCAGGGATGCGATATACCCGGCATGTTGAACTAGGCGCCCAGAAGTCTTGGCTTAGTGGCGAGTGTTGCCAGAGGGAAATATCAAAACGTATCCATAGAAGTACTAAAAATGTAAAAACATCCATAATCATCTAAAAAGTGTCCAAAATGTATACACTCTTTTCTTTAATAATGTGAAAAATTTCTTAGTATGTATGACAACAAAATTAAACTGAAATATAATGGTATCATCAAGAATTTTACTGATTATAAAATGGCTATTCTTGGTTGTAGTCAAAGATTTTGAAAACATGCAGACGACAACGTGACGTCACACAAGTACGACTGCAGCGCCATCCTAATTTTAGACTACATAAAATGACGTCACTGTTCTATGAGGTCCCAGCTAGTATTATTACCGACTATTTTACGCGCATTCCTGTCTTTAGTATATAGTCTTTGGGATGTGGGCAGTGGGTTATTTTTTTTTTTTAGGAATTAATGTTTCAAATGATTACCCAAAACAAAAATCATTCAATACAACACCATTAACAATAAAATTTACATCATACATTAAAGAATTCATTAAATAAACTTTCTTGGGGTAAAACTAGTTAAAATTAGATGTTTGGTGGCACATCCCTCACGTGTGCCCGGGACAGGCAGGACTCGAACCCAGGACTAAATCTAACCAACGAAGCTACTGTAGCAAAATGCGTATAACATAAACCCAAAATAAATCTAACCCGAAGACTATAGATATATTGTAGACCTTGAATTGCTAGGCAGTTGCAGGCGTTCTAAACTCTTTGGTTAACTGATGTGCTGAGTGCCAGGGGCGGATCCAGGGGGGAGGGGTCTTGGGGGTCCTGACCCCTTTTCATCACAAAATTCCAATACTTTTTTTTAATGCAGTATTGTACTCAGGCATTTTTATATAGTAAAAAGTAATTACTGTTGACTTCAGAATATCTCCTAATATCAAGTGCATATGGCTTCAAAATGCCCATGATATTGGACAGATTTCAAAAAAATTATGGGCGGCTAACAGTGCCCCACCCCCCTAAAAAATACTCCAGCTTGGTGGGCTCACTGCACTCACCATGTTGCTCCATCCACAATTTCTTGGACCACCCTTTTATATTCCTGGATCTGCCCCCGAGTGCAGACTGACCTGTGTGGTGGTCCTGTAGTGGATTTCTCCCCTACAAACGCTGTTTGTCGCCGAGTAGCCGATCCCGCAAATTCCTGTGTATCCCTCGTGGTCCAGGTCAACCAGCGCCGCCCATGGAGCGGAGGTCAACTATCTACCCACGCCTACCTCCGCTATAAAAGACCTGACCTCGTGGTGACCTGTCTCTTTTCTACCTACACCAACCAGCAAGTAACACCTCCTCCTCCGCCGCTGCCTGGCGGTCCTCGCTCCCGCCGGCGAGCATGGCGACCCACAAGCTGTCCTCCTCTGAGCACCCTCACCAACCAGCTCTCTCTACATCACGCTTGTAACCACTCTACCACTTCCCAGCACCAAGCTGCATTGTACATCCAATACAACATGTATACAGAGAGCACATCGTGATTTTTGAGTCTTGAACCAAACAACCCGTACCCCACAGTCCACCTGCAGTGATAAATCCTCACCCTTTCATAACCAGGAGAAGCTTCGTCATCAGCCTACGATGGACTGCCATAAGTGCACTGACCCTCAGTTGGATATTTTCAACCGAACCTGTAGCATATCTTGGGGACCAGACAGGGCAGCGCCTCACTCTTGAAGAGCATCACGAGACCCGCCAGTCTAATTACCTTCGAGTGAGCAATTCACAATGGTAAACTAGCTACCATTAGAAATTCCAAACTTCGTTTCTCATTATGTTCAAGGCATTGGGGTACCTTGCAACAAAAGGTTAACCCTGGTCTGGCCCCATGGTCTTATCGTGTTGGGTCGGTGAACTACATGCTTACAAGTCTGAGGATTTTGAATGGTGTCATTTCATGGCTAAAGGGTGGCCATAACTGGCATTTGTCTTTTAATCACATTAAGTACAGTACTCTACAGTATTACTGTATATGTTTAATTTTATACAGAAAAGAACTTTTATCTACTTCAGAGTTTGAATTTTTTTATACATTTTCTATGATTTGTATACAATAAGACGTTGGTATATTGAGACAGGAGCATCTTGTATGGCATCTAAATTATTTTATAAACAACCTGATGAAGGTCAGCAGAATGGGTCTTACAAGTCAATGGGAAACATTCTGTGGGCCAAAATTTGGCTTTGACTAAAAATATCTCAATTCACCACCCATTTGCACCCCTTATCCTTATCAAACCTATATACTGTACATAGAGTACACTGTGTCTCATAGGTCATACACCATAGGAAAATTAATGTTTCTTTTCATCTTTTTGCAGGTGAAGGAATCATAGTAAATCAAAGAAGATGGCAGACATTAACACTAGAGGAAGAGTCAGTTTATTAAGGGCACCAATCACTTAATAAACAACATCCGTGTTAACGGGTCACTAAAGTCTTTTGTACCTCATCAGTATATAGCATCTGACTTAAGGTAATTTTTTTTTTTTATGGGGATTAGCCCACCCGGACACAGGTCACTGACCCACATCGGGGCCTGGGGGGCGAAAATGTAATAATAATAATAATAAAATAATAATAATAATAATAATAAAAATAAATAATAGTCATAATAATTCATAATAAATAAAATTTATGATAAAACAAACAAAAATAAAATAATAAAATAATGATGATAATAATACAGTAACTGTAATAATAATAATATTAATAATAAAGAACTATAAATACAAAAATGAAAAAAAGATCAAAAGTGAGAAGCAATATATGTATGTTGTGTTATCAATGGTAAGAGAATCAATTGAGACCCTGCAATTGTGTGTAAATGAAGCAGGAAGTCAGATCAGCAACCTGGGACTTGGTCACAATTTTCGTGATGCCATATGGCAGCAGGGTCTACCATTAGACAACACATCATGCTTCCAATATCTTTCCAGGCGGTAGTACCTCCCTGTTTGGTAGTATTAATTTCTCAACAATCTTCTTTCATTTGCTATGATTCCCCCACCTGCAGAAAAAAAATCCTATGGTATGTGACCTATGAGACACCCTGGTCAACAAATCATTAAAGTGATGCTCTTGAAAGAAAAATGAGATTTTCAGGCAGTTTAAGAAGAGTTTTGATGCAGTCCACATTGGAAGCTGCTGGTGAATGAAACTGTAAACTGGACTTTTGTGCACAGTACCATGTATTGCATTATATGCCTAAAAAACTTTCTCCTTTCACAATCATAGTTTCAATGGTTCTTTATTGTGATAAAAAACAAGAGCATCAGGTCACAACAAAAAGTTACCTCTAATCATTGCCATGTTTCCAGTCTACATTTTCTCCCTTCTTATGGAACCAGAAAACTTTAGGGATACTAAAACTGTACGGAATGTCACATACTGTTACAGTACTTAATTCTTGACAGTATTAGTCACTCAAAAAGTCAAGTAGTACTGTACTACTGTATGATAGCTATAAAAAAATACTAAACATTTGATTATAAACATTTAATTAACAAAAAGATTAAATTTAATCCATGATAATAATGTTAAATAAAATACTGAAAATTTAATTCCTGAATTTGTGAATCAACAATATTAAGTTACATAACATACTGTAATTAAAAGAAATCTCAAAATGTCTACAAATTTCATGATTGGATTTATAGTTCTATGCACCCAAGCATTTAAGGTCACAGTTTTTCATTAGTTTATTTACATTATAAATATTATAATATCTGCACTTTACAAAAAATCTTGGAGTGTAATTGTTACTGGATACCTAATAATTCTTTACGTTTTTCCTTGCCTCTTAAAATGGCCATTTTGAACACGTTACAATATAAACTTATGGAGGATGTAGTGTCATCATTACCAGGAACTGGATAAGTAAGAAGGTTTGGGTTACAATTTGTGTCAACAATTCCTACTGTTGGGATAAGCATTTTGGCTGCATCTCTCACAGCATAATGTTGATAGATGACATTGTTCATAGTGTGGAGGAATATTAGAAGATCTGGGAGTCTTGTTATACACCCAAACTGGATGGTAGAATTTGTGAGGACACCACCTTGCCAGTAGCGTGTATGGGAGTATTCACCACACTCCTTCGCTGTGTTCTCTATAATAAACTGTAAGATTAAACATGTTTTAATGTACCATAAATAGTGATATTAGAGTACAGTACTGTACTATTCACTACATTACTTACAATAAAACCATTTTCTGTACTTTCTCAACCAGCTGGACAAAATGAACATATTTCCCATATTATGAGAAAGCTTCACATATATTCACAATGGATACTATGTAGTCCAGCACAGGCAGATGCGATTCTTCTAAAAAAAAAAATAGCTAATACATAAAATCTGCAGTTATTCCCCTCAAACCATCTACAGTGTCCCAAGCCTCTCTCATCAAACCACTGCCTTGTGCACACCAATTAAACATGGTCATACAGTCAACCGTAACATCACACAACTCCAGTTATTTCACACACTGCAAGTACAGTACTACATGGGTGATCACCTTAACAGCTCTGCTCACATTTGTCCACCTGATCACTATGTTCAACTTGCATACTTACTGAACTCAAAGATTGTTTGTCTTTATAGGCCAGCATGATAAACTGAGCTAAAATGTTTACACTAACGAAGGAGTAAAAATATCTTAAGTGATGTAGGAGCTGTAAAACTGACACAGTGTATCAGGAAACTAAAATATTGTACCAACAAGTTTGTGGGGATTGTCTCAGGGTTCCCACTAGTCCTCTACTTATGCAGTTAGGGCTGCATTTCAGAAAATTAGTTATGTAACTAAAGAATTACAAGTAGCATCTCTCTTGACTCGACCACAACCCCTAAAATGGCAGCTACACTAATGTGTCGATTGCCAGAGGCAGAGACGTAAGAGTGTGTTGCTGCTGCACTACAGTAATATGGTAATATGGGAAGCCAGCTCAATTAACCAGTTCCCAGCCACATCTCTTGTTTCAGGTTTTTCCTTTTGCATTCTACATTTTCTTTTTGTTAACTCTCCTTTACCTTTTCAGCCTTTTTCTTGAAGTTCTGTTTCTCTGATCAACCCAACACAAAATAGGAGAACAATGAAGATGGTATACAAAAATAAACATGAATTCTTTGGTGAAAGCTTCAGGCTGTGCTGGGCTTCTGAAACCATAATGTTAGGTTATGTTATGTATATGAATGATATGTACAACATCTTAAGGCTGATGGAGTATACTGTACTGTGAGTTACAGACTAGTTTACAATAAAAACCTAATTAAAAAAAATACAAAGAACCTTTTCTTACCTGATGATTGGGGAGACGACCAACAAACAGAATAATGCCACCCCGGAAGGCTATGTGAGCTGTGAAATTAAGTGCATCTCGTAAAAGAACTGCAGTCTGATCCAAGTCAATAATTAGGTGACCAAGGCGGGATCCAAATACAAATTGTTTCATGTGATTGTCCAAGGATCCTTCCCTGTGACCAAGATGGACACGAGCATTAAATAAATCTTCTACAGTAAAAAGCTCAGCAACTTTAAAATAATCTGGATGCTTGAGGGCATTCTTCATTTGTTGACCAATCATATCATCATCTGCAAAAAAAAGATAAATTCAGAAGTGTAAGACTAGTTATGCTGCAAGGAATAAGGGTTCCAAAAATGTTTCAAAGTATGAATGATACACTTTATTCTTGAATGGTACAATGATGGCCATAACCTGTTTATTTACAGTACAGCTACACCACCGATTTTCCGGGAACTGATGGTCCGCCACCTCGTTAAGTCCGGACAAAATTACGAGAGGGCACTTGAAATTCCTGTGACTGCCAGACTAGTTTACTGGGTGGCCACAGATGGCATTGCCCTTAACTTCCAGACCTTTGTGATTAGCTCTACAGTTCCAGTAAAATTATAAAATTTGCCACATTGGGAGCGGTAGTACCGCAACACTCTTTGTAAGTACAGTACTGTACAGTAATTAATAAACCTGTTTTATTTATACTGGACTAATAAACCTGTATCATTTATAATAATGTATTACATTAAATCATTTAAATCACATTTAATTTACATTTAACATTTGTTTAATTTAAGTTTCTAGCGGTCCATGGTGCTTTAGAGACACGGGAGATGTATAATTAGTGGGTCAGAGGTGTACTGTTGAATTATTATTACCTGACCTCGGTTGGTCCGGCAAAACGGATAATCTGGCAAGGCTTTGGAACCAAGGGTGCCGGAAAATCGGTGGTGGAGCTGTATTATATTTAACAACAATCTTGATACTTATCTCAATGAGTAAAAGGATATTATTACATGCTTAAGCAGAATTAATACAAATAGTTTGGCAAAAGCAAGTCATGTAATTAATGTATGACAGCAAACACAGTCAGCGAACATGGCACAGTGAGGGGTGTGTACCCAGGGCAAGTGTTGTCAGCTTCTGATCATATTAAATGAAGAAAATTTTAGTCTTGTTATATAACACTATGCAGGACAGAAACATACAGGTATAAAAAAACTGACATATTATAGTGAACTAACCAGGTGATTCTTCATGTTTCTGTAAAGGTTCTGTAACATTCAGGACAGGACTGGATGATGATGCTATGCTGCGGTGCGACAGACCTCGTGGCACTCCCACTGTAAGAGAGCACTTTGTTAATAATAAAGCAAGTATCCTGAAGAACAGACATCTTCACATAACAAGCTCCTAATTCATTATGGTGTCATCCTTGCAATATGGGGAAGAAGTAAAGAGCAATACTGTAATGTATGTAGTTCCGTGCATGGCAGCTACTGAATACTGTATTAATCTACATTAGTGATCTGAATTCAAGCTCCAACCTAAGCAGCAAATCTTAACATGTTTATTATTGTTTCAAGGGTAAAAATTATTTACTTCATATAACTTCATCACCAACTGATAGAACACACATAATACATTAAAAAATAAACATAATAACCAGTCACCTTAAGAAATAAAACAACGTTGAAGATTTGAGTTGCTGCCAAGATAATGGAAGAGGGACAATGTTTAGTTCCTTCTGAATTAACAGTTCCGGTGTTTTCAGAGTCATCGGGCGTACTGATACCTTCAAGCGAGACTTTTTTGGGGATGTTATAAAGATTAGTTTGGTTTCCTTTTTGGAATAATTTATCTTGGACTGAAGTATTAAGTTGGTTTAGTTCAGTAGAATTCTTTAAGGCTGTTGAGGAGGTTCCTCTCTCTGGGATATGACCTTCCTCCTCACCTAGGACGGGAACTTTGACCTTTTCTCCGGGTATAACACATTCTTCTGAGTTTGCCTCAATATTCAAAAAACAATTCAAACATGGCAAAAATTCCTGGTTGATACTATACCATCCTGAGGTCATGAGTAAGGCCAGCGTCAATGGATCAACAACAACTTTCCCCGACTCCACACTCCCAGGAACCATCACCGATACAGTTTTTGTAAACATCTCGTGAGGTAAGTGTACACCACTGCCCGACTTTGCCAAGATAATACCGCCATACTCATCAAAAATTCTGCTAATATTCTCATAAGCTGCAGACTCCAGGAGAGTTGTGTTCAGCTCACCAAAACAATCAGGGGTTCTCACATGATAATTATTACGGACAGACACACAGTCGTCGATCAAAACAGATTTCATCTCTAAGGCTGCCTCTTCAATGTATCTTGACTTAAGTATGACTTTATCTCTCCTAACAATCTTGAGCACATCTGTTAGTTTCCAGCACAACAGGATTTTGTTCTCCAGGTTACTGTTAACTGAATTATTCCCTTCACTGTTGCCGGCTGGGTCAGAGAAGAATAATGCACTGCAGTTGGTGGTGGTATACACTTCATCCTCCCCAGGGTCACAGGTAATAAACTCTTGGATACTTTTATAATTAAATCCTATAATGTGAATAGCTTCATGAACAAAAACCCTTCTTAGAGTTATTTCTGATAGTTGTTCTGTTTGGTTCCCACATAAATTAACATATCCTACCACTGGTCTTCTGCTGTGTATGCCACCAACCACTGCTGTGTCCACACGGCATACAGAGGAGTGAGCTACAGAATTCTGGCATAATCTGCTGGCTCGAGATGTTACATATATTAAGATGTTTGTTCCATCAACTATGCCTTTCCCTTCTGGCAGAGAGTCATTTAGGTGATACAAGCTGTCATATTCATATACCATCAACCCTTCAAGATGATCAGCAGGTATTTCAACATCCCCACAAAAATCTCTTGTATATTTCCTTGATATTTTCCCACATTTTCCAATATTTATTCCATCAAAATATCGAGTATCACAAGCAGCTTTATCCCTGGGAACACGGAAAACTGACTTCTGTTCTGAGTACTTCAAGGTTAATAATTTTGAAAACATTAATGCCGTTTTACTAATAACTTCTTGTGACTTAGGAGACAAAGACTGATCCATAAAATCCACATGAATGTTAACTGGTACTCCTGTCTCGTCTTGTGGAGTTACTAAGTTCAACACCACCATCAAGTACCACATGAACTTCATCACTAATCCTTATGTATTGTAAGTTATATCTTCACAAGCAGCTATGTGGTTATCACTAGGCCTTCTGTAGAGTATGATGTTTTTAAAAATATACGAGTTCACTGGAGTAAGGACAAAACACATCATCAATAGAGGCATTGTTTCAGCTTTATCCAATCACAGCTCCAAGACTCGTTGCCATATTTGTCTCAATTAACACATTTTACGCTTGAAATGTAAAAACAACAATAGGCTTTACGTCACTGTAATTATATTTCGTTACTATGCGATAAAAGTACAATGAATTATCTATCTATGTTGTTATAGTTACCAGCAAGTTGAGAGAGTCGTCTGCCCAGGGCCGTCATGGTCGCTGCCTCTCCGGTCAACAACAACAATATATTGGTTTTCTTGATATTCTCTTAATACCTATGACTTTGAATGACCAATAGTTACTAGAATTATATTATACATAACTTTAAAATCTGTTAAATTCGGTAAATATACTTAAATGCATTTCTAGTTAAACGAAATGGTTCTATGTGAGGGCGCGCACCCCAACCTTCTGCTGTACCAGACCCCGATTACAAGACTTGTTAATAGAGAGAGCAAACCCAGTAAAATACAACACATAGGACACAAAAAAACATCTTTTAACTACATAATTGATATTTTTAGTGTAATATGAACAAGGTGTAACGCACAAATAATAAACTTAGTAACGTTATAACCAGATAGTAAATTCTATATAAACGGCAATCCTTCCCTTATGCTGTACATGTTGATTTATTGCTGTTTTTGTGACAGGTTGTGTATCATAATTCATAACAAACATTTATTCAACATTTATGAATATGTTTTTGGTAATCCATTTCACCTGTTGATAACTATGACAAGAATTACAGCTGGACAACCTTTCTTTCGTCCCCAGTGACTGGAAATGGCTTCTTATTTTTCTTTTCCTTTTACGTTTATCCTCTTCGCCACTGATCAGCTCGTTAGGCGCTTGGTCGGTCGATCACAGTCGCTGTACCTTTGACTATGAAACTCAGTGTCATGGGCATACGCTGAGATAAGTAGACTGGCATATTCTTTTCAGGAGATTAATGACTTTCTTAAATAGACAACTGACAATACAGAAACTACAAACATCAGATTCTCTGAGGTTTGGGCATTAAAATTACATAATTTCAGTAGTACTTGGAAACTCATGGCTATCCCCCACGGACGATATTAGATGCTATTCATACTGGCAGACTCAACACTCACTTATTTGACAAGTTTTACTAACAATAAAAACAATTGAAGCTTTAAACATTGCTCACAATAAATCTCTAATGTTTCATCTGTAATCAGACATATCTAATCTGACTTAATATCTACAACTACAGTTGCAATTTAAAATTTCGTGTCGTGCCCCGAGATATTAAGGAATAACAGAGTTTGGGTGCAATCCAAGAGCGAGAGAAAACGGAGAATTCAGGCGTCCTGAAGCGATATGAAAACGTACGCCTTAGCTGGGGGACTCAATCAAAAAGTTACAGCAACATGTTTTGTGGGCTATTGAGCGTAATATGGATCGTTTGATTTTACGTTAGCTAACATGCATGACCGTGGTAATTACACTGGCTCCTGAATGTGTCTCAACCTGCCAGTGTTGGTCAAGTCTGGTTTTGCAAGAGCTCACACTCGGTGCCGCCACAACACTCTCTGGTAGGTTGTTCCAGGAGTTCACAACTCTCTCTCCGAAAAAGTTACCCCTCACAGTTTTCTGTACTTGTGGCTTCTTCAACTTTGAGCTGTGACCACTTGTGGGGCGGGTGTCAGCCAGCTCCAGGTATGGACTCGACTAAGTAGTGCCCTCTGAGAATTTTAGAAGCTACATCTAGGTTCCCCTTGGCCGTCTATAGTATAAGATAGGTAAGTGCAGGCGTCTTTATATCTCTGGGTAAGTGAGGTGACGCAGTGCAGGTACCAGTCTGGTAATCCTCCTTTGGACATTTTCAATCAACTGACAGTCTCTCGCAAATCTCGGGGACCAGATGGGGTGACAGTAGTCCAAATGAGGAATCACCTCACTCTTGAAGATCGTTACGACCGTCTAATAAGAGCAACTAGTTTAGTTCATTGATTCACCTTCTCTTATGAGCCAAGAACTTCAGTTCATTATCAACATACACACCCAGGTCCTTTTCACATTTGGTCTCCATTAATTAGCAAGAGAACTTGACAGCAAATGTAGCGCGGCAGTTTGGAAGGTATTACCGCGCCTTGATCTACTGCTGAGTGATTAACAAGGTGTATCTCTTTTCATGATAACTTCAGTACTCACCTGCAAGTGTCACCCCCAAGCTGCGGTAGAACTCACTAGTTACTGTAAGTGTCGCCGCCTCCATGTACTATAACTGGACCACCACTCAGTAGGTGGATATTAACACAGTGTCATCCCCGTATACTTTACCGAAGTTAAGACACTTATTATCAGCTTCTTGTGTATTTTAAGCGTGTATTAAAACCATGCCAATAAAATATTTCTACATGATATTACAGTAAAAGAAAATTAAGAAACAACAATTATTCCATTAACATTTTATTAGTCTTAAAATGCAGATCAACATAAACTGTGTCATCGTCATGTATAAAAGGTAGATAAATTCTAGTAAACTTGTTTATACATCAATCCAGGAGGTTACTGAGCGAAACAAACTTTAATAACCCAAAACACTAAGGTGAGGAGCCGCCGATAGTCAGCTTCTTGTAACTATCACAAGCAGACTATCGGAGGAAGGAGGATCACGTGTCACAGGGAGGATCTGAATACACTCACCACATGTTTCATCATAGTCACGATACATATATTTTACCCCATGATGATGACGCAAAGAAGTATTACCCTAGACTCTAGGGCCTAGAGTGTAGCATTAGTTGTAAAATAAGCACAAGACAAGAGACAACTGAAGCAATTATGAAGCTAGATTCTTAGACTAAGTTAAGATGACCAAAGCTTGTTGACTTCATGAATAAGCTTCTTCTGAACACCGTGTACCAAGGTAAATGCCTTATAAGTATACAGACATACATATACATTTACCCACACGTGTCAGAACTTTTGTGGATTATTACCCTTAACATTAGTTTATATTATGTTTAAATATGTTTTTCATGTGTTGATTCGATCTCCTCGGCCGCTATAGGTAAGTTTGGCTGCAAAATGTTTACCTAATTTTTGGATCGATAAGTGAAATGTGGTGGAGTGGAGTGCCGGCCACGCTGTCCTCCACTGTGTAAGTGTGTGTCTGTGTAACTCGTCAGCGCCTACCACCAGCACTCCTGCAGGCGCTCTTCGTACGTCTTGTGTCATTAACGTGGGGTTGTTGCCTTCAGGGGCTGAGGGACGGGATCTCGACTCATTAGCCTTTTTGCCTGAACAAGATCTATGTCAATACCTTTGTAGCAGCTCTTGCTGACTTATCACGTACAATTTTAAAGTTGTTTAGAGGCAGATTGGCTGAGTTTCAACGCTGAGGACGACACTTTTCCAAGATCTGTCAGTGTATCATAATCCTGAGTGTTTATCTAACGCGTATAGCAGTGAGGTCTTCTCTTGTGGTCATTAAGCCAGGCTCTAAGTTTATAGAGACGGGCAAAGAGTGAAGACTTCCTCCTCCAGCTGTGAGAAATATTGTGGATCAGGACGTCTGCTGTTAACTATGTCTGTGCATTTAGCTGCGAGGAAAAATGCACACAGAGGACAGCTTCGTATGTGTCAAAGGAGGGCAGATACCCCCCCCCCCCCACAGCACCTGGTACCGGCTTCTCCTTGGGTACATCAAAAGCTAAACCGTGATACAAGTCTTTCCCTGGTTAATCAAAGAAGCAAAACTTGATCTTAAACTCTTCCCGCTTGTTCCTCTTTCCTTAGTTTTGCTTGCAAGAGATTATCTCCTGGTAACAGCACTGCAGGACCACGCCAGCCACGTCACTGAAACTCTCTTAAATAATAACGAGTTTGTATTATAAGGTGACGCCCAGGCTTCCGAAAATATGGTAGCTGGTGTGTAGCGGTGACTGCGGTGACTCGTTAACTACAGATAAAATGCACCTGTACTGTTTAAAACCTTAATTACATATTACCTAATGCAGCGTTAATTCTTTCTATATAAATCTAAAGAATAACAGGAGTTAAAACAGCAAGACTACGTGTTTATGATAAAAGAAATAAGGATATATGATGTCCGCTCCGCCTCGCCGCACATAAAGACGGAGGCGTTGCTGGTGGGAGGAAGGGTTAACACACGTTGAACGAAACGAGAAGGAAGGTGTGGGAGAGTGTGAAGGGCGCAGCTGGTGGCTGTCAGAGAACGAGTGAGGCCACCCACAGGCACCCCATCACGGAGAAGAGCAGCAGAGAAGGCGTGGTGGCTGTGGGCGTGTGGGCGTGGTTGCAGCCGTCCCAAGTGCAGGAGTCGTGGCATACTTCGGCGATCTGGCCGCGCTTCGTCTTGCCCTTCTCGCAGTCCCAGCCTAAGTCTGTTGGGGAGCAGGTCCTCACCAACGACACCAGCGTCCCTGTCAAGAACCGCTGTCATTAATACTACTGTCAAGAACCACTGTCACTGCCATCCTTGTCATAGATCAGTCATAAATTTAGACCTTGAAATCTGGCATAAAATTTGACGTTGTATTGGACATAGATTTTAACATTGACCCTAGAGATTAACTTAGATTTTGAAGTAAACTCAGATTTAAACTGATTTACAAAAACTCCTAAATTTTGAAACTGAGACAGACTTAGAGTTTGTCTTGAACTTTGAAGCTGACACAAACTTTGACGTCGAGTTAGAAGAAAATCTAACTAAATCCGACACAGTTAGAATCAGAATTAGAATTAGGGGCACTGACTCGTATCCTCCTCGGCTGGGGTGTACGTCCTGACTGTCAGACACGTTGTCATGCCTGAATCACATGGTTCGGGGTCAGGGGGGACATGGATGCAGTCCTCTCCCTCACCCCCTGTTTCTCCCTTACACTGTACACACTGGATGCCGCTAGCTGTAAGGGAGAAGACGGTTGGAGAAGGATTAGTACGTTGGAGAGAGAGGGAGAGACAGAGAGATTCAATCAATAACAATCACCCCAAAACCCTCAGCAATGTAAATAACCCATACCCAAGACCTTATATCCAATAACAAATGACTCACGTCCACCTGAGCTGACCAATCGGACTGGAGTTGTTCATAGGCTTACACACCTTCAACCTCCACTAACGAGAGGTGTTTCCAGGTAATAACAGGTAGAACTTAGGTCATTAAACCTTTATATATTAGAAAAATAACACCCCCAACGTCTCGACAGGTTATCTTGTTATCATCAGACTTAAAAGACATGTGATAGAATTCAATAGTATCGATATTGAAAACTGTATATGGTACTTGAATTCACTTATAGCATTGGATACCCTGATAACAGGTATAAGTACGTAAAAACATGTTAAAACTGAAAAATAAAACAAAAGAAAATCGATTGATTCATTTATCCTTTTAAAGCGACATTACTAATAGCAGTACAAACTCAAAATTAATATCAGAGACAAACATACAATGATAAGCAAGTACTTATAGTTTCTTCAACATATATAATTAATTCACTTCTCTTAAAGCATCATTCGTTATCCTCTTTCTCATTATTTCTCTACCATCGCTTCAGAGGTCAGTATGTCTGTGTACTCTAGTTCCTTATTGTTTCGATTCTGTTTTGAAATCAATCACTGCACTCATATCCTTCCAGCGTTTGTTTATTAGTTCAAATACTCCCCATCAGAGCACCAAGTTCCTTTCCCCCCTCTCTCTCTCTCCTCCGTCGTCCATCACACCGCCATCAAGTTGACTTCCATTAATGCCTAAATATACTCGGTTCATCCTACACTTTCCATCCCATTGATACATAGAGAGCTATTTGGACACATAGCTCTCACTTCCTTTAACACTAGAGGCAGGAGAGAGCTGGTTTATGGATGGCGCCGTGTGTATCATTTTCCTTGTCGCTTCCTTGTTCATCAATACACAAATTGTTGATGGCGCAGTGTGTCTCTATAGCTGGCCCGTGAACTATGTGATTAATGATCAAGAGGGAGAAGGAGGAGGTTGAAGAGGAAGATGAGGGGGAAGGGGAGGAAGAGGAGGCTGAAGAGGAAGATGAGGGGGAAGAGGAAGATGAGGGGGAAGAGGAGGAAGAGGAGGCTGAAGAGGAAGATGAGGGGAAGAGGAAGATGAGGGGAAGGGAGGAAGAGGAGGCTGAAGAGGAAGATGAGGGGGAAGAGGAAGATGAGGGGGAAGGGGAGGAAGAGGAGGCTGAAGAGGAAGAGGAGGACGAGACTAAAGTAGAGGAGGAAGAAGAAAAAGAGGTGGGGGAAGAGGCTGAAGAAGAAGGGGAAAAGAGGGAGAAGAGGAAGAAGAGTGGGAGGAGGCAGCCACCGCAGAGTAATGGTGTGGAAAGGTCCCTCATATAGCTATGTAAACAAGGGTCGTGGTCAGTGTTGTATCGACCAAACAGTAAACAATATTCATGTAAGGCTGTGTGTGTGTGTGTGTGTGTGTGTGTGTGTACCAGATACTGCATAGCCTAACCTAACCTAACACACACGACTAACCTAACCAAACTATAGACAATTATCTTACCTTGGCGACACAGTGGGAGGAGGAACAGAAGCAGCAGAAGGGGGAGGGGCAGGGGGCGGGTTGTGGGCGTGGTCATCATGAAGTACCGCCCACTGATCACATACGTCACCGGAAAGAGTCTGAAACATTGAGACAACTTGTGTTACTTTATAATGTATGTATGTATGTATGTATGTATGTATGTATGTATGTGTGTGTGTGTGTCGGGGTCGTAGCGAGGATTTTAACACGGGCGCACCGAATTAGGACGGCTGCCAGGTTATGTTAGGTTAAGGGTTTCTTAATTTTCTCAACATCGTTTGACCAATATATAGGTTCCAGCTCCATTATAACTACATTAGGATCCGGCTCCACTATGACCAAAATCCAACTGACCGGAAACAAACAAACACAGAGTCCAGCGGCGGGCAACTCGGCGGAAATTGATTGATGGAAGTTGATCACGTTTACCAACAGGTTATGGGTTAAGGGTTTCTTAATTTTCTCAACATCACCAATATATAGGTTCCAGCTCCATTATAACTACATTAGGATCCGGCTCCACTATGACCAAAATCCAACTGACCGGAAACAAACAAACACAGAGTCCAGCGGCGGGCAACTCGGCGGAAATTGATTGATGGAAGTTGATCACGTTTACCAACACACACACACACGCACACACACACACACGCACACACACACGCACACACACACGCGCACACACACACACACGCACTCACACACACACACACACTGAGTATCATCAAAGAGTCAGGACATCCACTAACCAGCCACCAATCCTCAGTCCAATATTGAATTAAAAAAGATGAAAGAGAGACGAACACACACACACACACACACACACACACACACACACACACACACACACACACACACACACCAGAGCCATTTCACATCCACACACTCGTCAATATTGTGGTCTCTGGCATCACGGTGTACCCCAGGAGCATATTGGTTCCGTCTCTGTTTATTGTGTGATATTGTAGGTATGGTGTGTGGTGGGTGGTGGTGGTGGTGATGATGATGATGATGGTGGTGGTTGGTGGTGGTGGTAAAATGATGATGATGTTAGTCTTGCTGCTTTGCAGAATTCTTGTCAAGTAATTTTTTTTCCTTCTAATTTGTAGACGATCCTGTATTCCATTCCCAGTTACGTTGATTCCCCCCCTCCTCCCACCTCCCCATGATGGTGTGTTAAGGCGCTAGGGTATGTACTGACACACACACACCAACACCCCCCAGAGGACCATCTGCTACTACAAATGATGATGGTTCTTAAGATGCTCAATTGCATACTATACCCCTAGGTCTTGGTCTTGGTGTAGTGAGGTCACGTCCATGTGTGTGTGTTCAACGTTTAAGATCAGTGAGAATGTTCTGTATGTGGTAACTACATTCATACAGACAATCTGAACAAGTAAACTAATAATGTAACTCAGACACAGAATATAGAGGAATTCACATGCCTGGTAATTGCTATTTACTACTCGAGGGAGATGTTAACTCATGCCGGGTGAGGCGTAGAGTCACTGTTATAACCTTACCCTTTGACCCTTTGACCTTTAGACCCAAGTAACGTAGCAGTGAAGCCAGTTTGGTCTAATATACTATTTACGAGTCAACTCAGGCTGTCTGTCTCGTGGGCCCAGGCGGCACAGATAATACTTACTGTTCGTCATTTGTCTGTATATGCGCACTGGCTCTAAGTATATATGCTGATCTTATAGGAACATTTTATTATCTATCTATCTACCAATCAATCAATCTATCTATCAATCTATCTATCACAAACAGGATGCGATAAGGTAGGTATTCCAATTCTTGGATTATACGAAGCAGTTGTGTTTTTCCGTCAACCAGATATATGAATCACACATTGCTCCCTTTAATGGGGATTCGAACCACTCCGCCACCGCACGTACATAAAGGCCATAATTGACTGCCTTTACCCACACGACTCTGCCAACGTGAGTAATAACCCTATTTGGGCACCGCTTTCTTCGTGCCCTTGTGGCCATTTAGTTCAATTTCATGGGTAAGGAACCAGCCAGCCACTCAGGCCTCTCCTCCTCCTCCCCCAGCTGCTGTTACTGAGGCTGTGTTATGTTGCTTTAAGTCCTCAACAACAGCGTCGATTCTTAACCTAACCTAACCTAACCCAACTCAGTCTAACCAAACATAACTTATTCTAACCCAATCTATTCAAATCGAACCCAACCTAACCTAACCCAACCTAACCTAATCGAACAGAACTAAACCTTAACTAACAAAATAAAACGAACTAATCACGGTAGTCTCAGTGCAATTTGACCGTCACTTTATATGTCGTAACTTCAGTGAGTTGAGTGCTTTCAATCAATCCCGTTTAAGAGTTAAGAGGAAAAATCATGACGGGGATCTATTTGAGAATCCAACTCAATCCCAGACTCGTACCTTGATTTTATCTCAGTCTTCCCTTGCTGACGTGACCTGTTTTTGCTTTCCTATTTCGCTTTTGGATTATTACGAGAGAGAGAGAGAGAGAGAGAGAGCTAATATCTTACGTTAACTCACACACTCACGCTACGAAATGTTGATGCATTAGCTGGGCAGAAGAAAGAATGGCTTAAGTTAGATAGTTCCCGTTACTTTTTACTCAGGCAAGATAAGGCCCTCCTAAATAAGAGCCATCAGCCCTATACATTGTACAGGCGAGATAAAGAGACAGGCGAGAGATAGAGAGAAGGGAGAGACAGAGAAAAGCAAGAGATAGTGAGGCGAGATGTCTCTATGTTTTTGTCGAGAAGTTGCAACAGTTGAGTATAAGAAAGGGGAGTGATGTTTCTCTCTCTGTCTCTCTCTTTCCTTCCCATTCTCTCTCTCCCTCTTACTCCCATAGTAATTATCTACATTTATCTCCCCTTTTACTCTACTTTTTATCACGTTAATTATCCATAACTATCCCTCCTCCTTCTTTCTCTCCCTCACAGTAATCACCCTCTTCTCCCTCCCTCTCTCACACTCATTATCCACACCTATCTCCCCTCTCTTCTTCTCTCACACTCATTATCTCTCTATCTCTCTGTCTCACCACTACGCTCCGAAACAATTTCACCAGGTAATATATGACACCACAAACCACCTCAACCAACAGTGCTTCCCCTCGTAACTCTCCGCCTCGCCACGACCATTACTGTGGCGCTTGTCAACACATCCTCCCACGGCTACAAGACTGTCTCCACCTTGTTTACGTAAATCACAGCTGGAAAGTCTTACGATCAAGGGTTCAGGTACTCAGTGAATCGTATGTAAGGTTCAGGTACTCAGTGAATCGTATGTAAGGTTCGGGTACCCAGTGAATCGTATGTTAGGTTCAGGTACTCAGTGAATCGTATGTAAGGTTCGGGTACCCAGTGAATCGTATGTAAGGTTCGGGTACCCAGTGAATCGTATGTTAAATTTTTCCCCCAAATAACGATGTATGGGCGTATCTAACTGGTTGACTTATATCACTGGCTTAACAGCGTGGATATTTTACAGACTGTCTTTACTGCATGCGTTATGTTATACTAAACTTATCTGATAATTCACCCCCCCAAAATGTATTGTATTGACCTTTGTTACTACGTGGTATAGTATTTATATGTATTTTGTTTACTTTTAGTTGGTTTTAATTACGCTGCTGATCGAGCCTTGGTCACATCCCTCGACTGTCTGCTGACTCATTTAGAGGTTGATTAATGCACCATAAATATCACACGATGGCCTGACTTAGTACAATTAAATGACAAATATATTCTATAATTTCTATGAAGAATAATGAAGAGGAAACATTAATTACTTAGAAATGTTGTCATGTATGGATAGAGGACGCAACATAATGACGTCCACACAGATGGCTGGACCCTACTACGCGCTATTTTGTTTTCTCAGTGGCTCTTTCCCTCCCCATCTCTCTCTGCCTCTTGCTCCGTATCTAATCTTCCGAGTCTATATTTTTCTCTCTCTTTCGAATTTCTTTCTTTCTCTGTCTCTTTCCTCCTATATTTATTGGTCTCTCTCAACACACCATTCGACAGGATTTAGCACAACAGAAGCAACACTAATTCTCTCATCCATCACGTTGTCGCCGTCTTTGTGTTCCTCGCGAGCATTCCAGTTAAATTACTTCTCACAAGATGGCGCGTCGGTCTGCATGATCAAACGGGCCCCAAACCTGACCAGTAGCAATAAGGGTCTCGTCCTAATAGGCCCCAATTTCATGTGTCAAATTTTTAGTAGTGAGGTTTGTTCGGGGTCTAAGATGACTAGACTCGGGGCTAAAATTTGCCTTAGACTACAGTGTAAGATGACGGAGGTCGAGGGAAGACGCCGAGGGAGTGTGTTTCCGAGGGAGGGGAGAGGGAAGGAAGGAAGAGGGAGGGGGGAAGGGAAAGGAGAGAAGAAGAAAGTGAGCAAGGGACGGAGGGAAATGAGAGATGAAGGGAGGGAGTGCGGAACGGAGGGAGAGAGGAATGACACGACCCCTTCACTTCAGGTTAGTGTAGATTTAAGCCAGACAGCCTACAAGCCATACAACAACTGAGTGACGTGGGCAGCTCAGCACTCTACCATCTCTCAGGAACACACCGTCTCTCTCCCCACACCGTCTAGCACACCAACACCCTCCGAATATTCTCTGGACGTCAATATATCGCCTCTGCTCCACTCCTCACTTCTTATTGGCGAATAGCGAGGTTGTAGTATACGATATATGAATAAATCTCTCTGCTGTGGCTGTTCCTATATAGCAAGAATATACTGTTATTGCCTGGATATATCTTCCTTGTTTGCATGTTCAAGGACAAATTTCAACCTGACATTATTCTTTTGTTTCTAATCTACTTTTGATGGTATATTATGAGACACTAACGTAGCCACACACACACACACACAGACACACACACACACACACACACACACACACACACACACACACACAGACAGTCATCCATCACGATACCGGACGACAGAATCATCCACCAGTTGTCGAATTCTTGTCACGTCAGGCGCCGCCACTCTACACCAAGTCTTCAAGTTTCTTACCCAGAGCAGACGGGGTCCAGAGGTTGATTAATTATTGTTTTAGTCTAGTTTT